ATGTTCACATAATATTGCCGTAGAATGCGATTTTTATAAGAGTTACTTTGCTCATAGGAGCTGACGAACAGAGTAAAACGCGGAGGCCGAACATTCGAAAGCATTGCACGACATTCGATCCTGCTTGATCTCCGTTTCGATTTTGATGTTTGATACTTAATTATGTTCTTCCAATTTGAAACAGTAGTGTAAAAATGGTTCGAAATCCGAGAGGAGAGAAATACGAGAATTGTACAATTCGCAGATAAATTGACGTCCCGACCAGACGAAGATACGATTACAGTTACCACGGTAATCCTCACCGCGGGTTTACGTATTTTCCGTCGGACGGCAAGCGAGCCCCGCTGAAGGAAATTGTTCGCAATCGAGTTACAGCATAAGGGAACCTTTTAAAAGAATCCACGAGGAGCGTAGTGTCCTTGAATGGACGAGCTGGCGCGCGAGCTGATAGATTTTAAATGTCGGCTTCGCAAATCCTCCGCGTATCGATGGGTCCTTGCAAATCCCCCAACGATCCTTGGGATGAATTTCGTTCGCGCCGGGCGGCATCGATCGCGACCCACCCGCAAAGTCCGTTTTCACTTTGTCGCTAAATTACAAGCTGTTTCCTCAAGCGGCGTGGTCCACGAATTCGAGAAAAACTACTTCCTCCTCTTCTTTCCGTATTGTCTAGTTTTCTCTGCGTCCGCGAGCAAGGCGGAGAAGTTTCAACTCGCGCGAAACACGACGCCACCGTGCGCGGCTTTCCTCGATGATTTCGTGGCAGTTTTTGCCGTGCTCGAATCGGGAATTATTCAAATCCTTCTCGTTCTTTTCGACGTGTTCGCTACTGCGCTTCTTCCACCGCAAAGATTTTCTCGGATTATTTCAGTTTTTATGCAATTATGTGAAATGTAGACCCTGTTTATGCGAACGTGGAAGGAAAAATTACTGCTATCACGCACGTGTGACAGTGGCTTCTCGTGAGAAATTGATGTGTCACATAAGTATGACGCCCCGGTGGAGCGAACGTTTGAAGGATTACAGATGGGAGAGATGGGTGCCAGTTAGAAATGTCCGCGACGCCGAGCTTCGGTCGCCGAAATGTTCGGACTCGCGAATTTTGGCACGGACAGGCGGCTTCACGCGTGCTCGGACAGCCGTTTGTAATCATTGCCGGGATTTCTCGTCGTGGGAATGATGTTATTGCAAAATCCGTTTATGCCGGCCAACACAGGACGACGCAGTTTCTCGCGTTTATGTGTGTGTAAACCGAGTTATGAAAAGACGCCGCGTCGGTTGTCTGCCTGTAAGGCGAGGAATTGCTGGCAAACGCGAAAAAGTAGGAAAACTGCATTGTGGGCAAACGCGATGTTGCGCATATGGCGCGCGTGACGTGACTGGGATATTCCCCTGTGCCGCTCGCACATCGACAGGATCTCTCTCGTGTCCTTTGGCCTACGTACGCGCCCGCCATATCGTTATGAACAGACTAGCGGATGTGATCGAGTTTTGAAACCGTAGTACGATCGCTCGACGATCGACCAAAGACATCTTTCTCCTTTGCCCTCCCCCTCCTCCTCTCTCTATTTTTCTCCTTTTCTCCTCTCTCTCTCTCTCTCTCTCTCTTCTTTCTTTTGATTTCGGCCGTCAAGAAGTCTGATTAGTTCTCAACGCGTAATAAGATGGAAATCGACGAGGCGGCCTGATAAACCGATCGATTTGCTTTCAGCAAAAAATTTTAGCGAAAATTGAAGTAGAATTGAAGTCGTAGTGGCGGCCGTGTTCGGCGGCGACTGCAAACGACGCGATACCGCCCCGACGTCTTTATTATATTCGATGTACGTGCGTCGACTCCATCGTAAATCGAATCTCCCCATTATCTTCAGCGACGGCATTGTGGTGCGTCGCCGTCTTAAAAGAGGATTTTCCCCGTAGCCGAGAGGGAAATGAGTGTCGCAGGATGCGCGAGTTTTTCCCCTGTCCGCTTCTTCGCTGCCCGGGCTGTCCTTATTATTCCACTTTAATGTTAAATAACGTAAGCGAACGGGCGCACAACTCTGCGCGGCGTGCGTTTTTAATCCTAAAACGTTGAACAAGTTAATAAAGAATAAAGTGTCGCTGTGCTGACAGCTAATCTCGCGCTCCACGACCGCTACATCGACTACGCGAGTGCGCATTTATATCGACACGAAATACGGCTAGCCGGCGAAATTCGCAAGCTCGATGGAGAAAGATTTTGTCCTGGTGTTATCGATTCCCCTCTCGAAATGGCTCGAGGCAAAATATTTATTTTAACGTAAAGAAAAGAGAAGAGAGGGAGGGAGGAGACGAGCCGCGGGAGAGAAAGGGATGTGGCGCAGATATTGTAGCAACTGTGCAAACACAAAGTTACGCTTCCTTTCTCGCGCGCGAATCTTTTTCTCATTCGTCATTTGAGGAACGTCTATCTGTGAGGTAAATGAATTGCTGCATTAGTAAAACACATGAATTTCTCATGATGTATCATGACGGGACACATCCTGTGGAAGAAGGTTATCCGATTCAATTCATAGGTAATGCTCGCGACGAACGTAGTCACGCGATCGTGGTGGTGGTGCTTGAAATATTGCCAAGCCGCGACTATTTATTCGGAATAATTATGGATGCAACCGAGAGACGCGAGGGAGGAGAGACGCGAGGATTCGTTTTGCGATAGCAAACAACGAGGGAGACGCGTCCCGCGAGATAAAGGCAGGATGTTAGACGCCCCCCCCCTCTTCCTACCCGGCTCGGAACGGCATCACAAACAGCGAAAGCAGTCGCGCGCGCGCGACATTCTCGCGATTCGACTGATTATTCTACCGACGCGATCTCTGTACATATTTACACGACGGAGTTTCCTCAGAACTTGGCAAGTCAAACATCAGCCATCCAGTCGCTAATCGACCACCCGTTGATCGATCATCGATTTCACTGAACGACGCAACCCCGCGACGGATTTGTCCGGAAGCACGGGGCCGGGATTTATTGCGCGAATAGACTCGCGTCTTTCTCTCTCTCTCTCTCTCTCTCTCTCTCTCGCCAACTGACCGTAATCGTCTGTAGATCATTGCACACGTGATGCAACGAGAACGGAAGCGAAGAAGAAGGTTGATAAATTGCGACTCGCGTAAATGCGCAGTCTTGCTCTGATTTTATCGCGGGTAGGAAGAATTGCGCGCGAGTCGGGAGGGAGATAACGAGAGAAGTGAAAATGTTACATTACGAGCGTTAAAATGCGAGTTCTTTTTCGAAGAGAAACCAATTCAAACGCAGAGACATGACGCGGCGAGAAATGACAAATGTGCGGGAGTCTTAACGCGTAGTTGTACATTGCCGGTTGACAGACATTTGTTTTGATTATTTTATGGTCATCGTCGTATCTCGTCAGATGTGTGTGATTTTGATTATTGTGAGATCATGAATTTTATCGTCGGACGATGCACTTCCGATAAGAGGAAAATTGTGTCGATATCAAATCTGTTCTTATCAGTCTCTGTAACTTGTATGTTCGTTAATTAATCGTTCACTACAATACACTGCTCCAAGACTCCTACTTGCCATTTATTTAAAATGTTATCGGTGAATTTTGAGATCAGGATCAAGAGTCGACTCAATGTTTCCTTTTATTTCTTCGCGCTGGTGACAAACTTTATCACTTGACGACGAGATAGTCGGACGAATGGTGGAATGTTTGTCTGTGATAATGAGCAAATTTAACAATTCGTTTGCCGGAAGTGGCGCAAAATTCATGCGACATTCCTTGATCTAGGGTAGAAGTAATCCGACACACGCGCGCATGCCTGCTTTCTGACCAGGAGCCCTGCATCCGTGCTGATAATGGGCGCTGTCGCGGCGTATCGCGGTCGAGAACAATAATGTGACACCGCGCACGTTATAACGTAATCTGTGCATAATTGAACATAAACACGCCAATAATTTGGGCGGATTCTCGCAGATGAACGTGGGTGGAGAGACAGAAGGAAAACAGTCGTGACGCGTTTATATGAGAATATACGTCGCGCGCCAACGACGAGCGAATAATTGCTTTGTTGTAACTTGCGTCCTGACGGGGCCGCAGATGATGAAGCCAAGCACCCACGGGGCCGGCAAGCTTCGCTATTTTGATGACGGCTGGTGGGACGCGATTGAAGGACCCACCGCAAGAGCGGTGGAGCGAGTATGTAATTGGATGCTGTTACATGAACGTTACTTAATCTATCAAGTAGTTGTCCGAAGTAATCCAAGAGTTCACGCGAAATCCCACGACCTACTTCGACGACATTCCTCCGTCCGTCTCGTGTTTCATGCATTAATTGGGCAGAAGCCGAAGGCAGAAAGAGGTCGAAGGATTCTCTAAATTTCCTCGGGTGAAATTTCGTTTCAAACGAGCGAGAAAGTTCGCTCGAAGCGATAGCGAAAACATCATGCGAAATGACGAAAGAGATTAATCCGTACGAATGAAAATTTCAACCGGGAGAGTGAATTTGCATTATCGGCTCTCCGTCCGTCCTACAACTGATCTCTTTCGGACACAGGCACACAAACACAATTACGCATTATTATTCTCTAAACTCCCCGGAATAAAATCTCACTTAAAACGAGCGAGGACATCCGCTCGAAGTGACAGAGTAAATACCGCCTCTCGAAATCACAAGAGTAAATGTTTAACTCAAACTTCGAGGATAGACTCTTAGTTCGTACAAGAGACTCTCAATCGATTGGGCTGAATTTGTTACCAAATGACGGCGAAGTACATCCGACTCAATTCTCAGTCTCAGACGAAAATATCCTTTCGACGATTCAAGGTGGAAAAATTTTCATTTTGAGCGAAGTGTCACTCGACGTCGAGTGACTCGGTTGTTAATTCACTTTTCGAGTGGAATTTTTACCCGAGGAGATTTAAAGAATATATTCGTTGGTCCTTTCTCTTCTCTTATTGATTCTTGATCGGCGTCGAGTCTTGATCGCTCTTATACTTTGTATCTGATTTCACTTACCTGGGGGTAATCACCGTCCTTCATCTGATAATCAAACACGTAGAAATAAGTCTTGGGCATAGGCTCTTTCTCGCTGTCGGGGATCGGCGCGATATGGGGATTATTCGGCTTTTTGGTGTGCCTGAGGGTGAAGAGATCTCCGGTTTGCACCAGCGGGGCTACGAATTGCGCGTCGCTCAGCGCCTGTACACACGCGTCTTTTGTGTTGACGGGATGCTGTACCGTTCGCTCCCAGTCGGTATACTCATTCACGACCTGTAAAAAAAGAGGGACAAGTTCCAAATCTATCAGCTGCGCCGTGTGATAGAAATGTCAAAAGTGACGGATTTGAATGCCGCGCTCGGGATTCCCCTTCTCGGCTGATTAAAGTTGTGCACTCCCGGAAGTAATATTCTGCCGCTCGATTTGATTCCTAACCGTGAGATAAAATGCAAAATCCGAGATACCCGGGAAAAGAAGAAAGCGATCTCCAATCAGCGTTAAGTTGCCGCGCTTCTAGAAGCCCCAATCAGCAAAATCCGCGGGAAAAAAGTCCGAGTGACTTTCGCGTAGCGAGTGTCGCTCTTGTTTCCGCTTATATGGTGACATAGAATAATAAGCAGCCCGTTGCCCGACAGCACAATGGCTCCCCTATTGCGCTCGTAAAAACGCATTGCCATGACTGTAATCATTTAATTGACCATAATCATTAAGTAATGTCTGGCGTGTGTCGCTTCTGGCACGGACCGATAACGCGCCGGCCAAATGGAATTGCGTCGTCGCGTATTTCGACAAAACGCTACGCTCGCGATTCAATCGTTGTGTGGAACGTAACAATTATATCCCGCGATAAATTCTGCGCGCATGCGACGATACACGCGTCGCGCAAATATGCGCGGTATGTTGCGTATCGCTGGCGATGGCGACAAATGTAATTCATTTTTGTTGCGGAAATCGCTGCGAATTTTCCGCTCTTTGAAGCTTCTCCGCCGAAACCGAATGTATCGAATCGAAATGTCAATTTTCAGACTCTCGCGATCGGGAAATATAATAAATGCTTTGATTAAAGATTTAGGATCCTTTGAGATCCAAAGGCGGATACAAAGGTCGAATTTGACGAGATTAAGGAAATTTTTATTTTTTTTTTTAGTCAAAGAACAACGACTCACCGTGTAAAATATTTCGGTGAGATGATAAACGTAGGCGTTTCGGACGTACGTGCGGATGATCCTGTCCCTCCTTTCCCCCTCGAATCCTTGCAAGACATCCTTCTCCGCGAATTTCCACAGAGCCTCGCTCGTAGTTACGCCGAACAACAGGTCGTACTTATTGTTGCTCGTAATGGGTGCGCCGTGTTCAGCTTTTTTCGGAAGGGGGCTGAAGTCAAGCGAACGGGAATGTCGTGCAATTGATCGATTGTCAGTTTCAATATTAGCTTCTAATCATGTTACAGCCAACAACGTCTAATAAATAGAACAGCTCCAAAAGCACTGACAAGTGCTGAAATCGAGAATGTCGGCGAGGCAAACTTGTCGGGAAATGCAACTTGCTCGGAAATAAAGACGATAACGCGACCTCGTGCTACGGTTTCCAAGCATGAGCGTAGCGCGATCTTCGATTGTAAGTATGCTAATGACGCTGTAAGGTCGGGTCGGGTCGTTTACAATCGCGTTAATGAACCACGTTAATGTTCGCGGTGGAACTGGCTCGTTTAGCTCCCACTTTCCATTTAACGAGAAAACTCCGGGATCCGTCAGACGGAAGACGGAAGGCGGAATTATTGTGAGAGCCGACGTTAAGTACGAGATCCTGCTTCCCCTTCCCTCCCCCCTCTAAGCAAGAAAGCAAAGCCAGGCCCGGAAGTGCACACATCAAAATAACTTTTCCACCGCTTCACGGATTTCCTTTGCAGCCGCGAAAGAAAATGTAGAAATATACGCCGCATTACCATAAAACTCTATTAAGCCAGCTCTACCGGAATCCAAGGATTTCCCTCTCCTTCCCTCGTTTCCTCACTGTCTTCAGGTTTCATCCTTTTTCCCCATTTAGACTGTGACCGTATCCAAAATGGCGCCGAGAATCCGCAAGGTCAAACGTACACGATCGCTTTTCTTTATCTCAAATTGGCGAATAAATTTAGCAGTGCGAAATGGCCGCAAGGGCTACTCGAGAAAGGTTCATCTCATCATTTGATGAACATATCGCTCTAAAAAGATCGCAAAAATAGCCTATTCCTCTAAAAAAGGTCGCAAAATGGAAAACTAAAAGTTCTCAAATTAATGAATGCTAATATCTCGAATCTATTCGATACTCACCCGAATCCTTGAAATTCGGGACCCAGGTAGGACAGAAGGTCCTTTTGAAAGTCTGGCTTGATAACAACACCGTCGACACTCGGGCCAAATGCACTAAGAAACGTCGGCGGTTGAATGTCAACTTGTATCAGCTCTTCCAGGCTGCTCTCTCTCAGACAATCGACTATTAACTCATTGTCTTTGAGGAGATCATCGGGAATAGAGCAGTTGACAGCTTTAGCCAGTTTCAAAGCGTAGGACACTGGATCCTCCACCACTGCCCAGGATGAAAGGGCACTGCCGGATAATAGTATGGCACGCTTGAATAAACCTGTAAATAGAAAAGATGTTTTAACATCGTATGTTTTCGAAATTTTTATCATGTTTTCGAGGTCGAAAATTGTATTCGATCGATACATTTAGTGGTCAAGCTGTGTATTTAGCAATCCTGAAAGACAAATAAAAAATTGCCCTTAAAGAGGAGGACGACATTTGTAACTTTTAATTTCCACTTTATTGCCTCAGAAAACAAACGCTTTTGATTTTTGAAATGGGATTGGGAAAGGAAAACAGTTGCATCTTTGACCGAGTAAAATTCCTTTGTCCGGAACGTTATTCTATAATAAAGGACCGCGTCACACGTCTGGATCGAATCTTTGCTAAAATGCATGCGAAAAAACGCGAATATTTCTATTTTTGAGAATAGTAGAAAAGAAGAACGACAACATGTTTCATCGATAAAGGAATTATTCTCTCTCGAGAAAATGTGCCTGATGGACCGGAAGATCTACTCCTATTTCTTAAAATGACACACCGGGAGTAAGATATTTCACGATAAAGAGGTTATTTTCACAAACGGGTTTCTCACACTCGATTGGAGAACCGACGGGTAATCTAATTATTATTTACTTAGCCCTAAATGGACAAGGCGGGATGAAGATGGATATCGATTTGTATGACAGATACTAAGATACATTTGTGAAGATGGAGAGATAGATTTGAATGTGTATGAAGTTATCGTGATCAGCGAAGCAAAAAGCCGAAGTGAAGCATATTGGTGGAAGAATTCAAAGTCGCGGATCCTTGAATTTTATGTCTGGAATTCTTCTTGAATATTGTAGTTCTCAGATGTCATTCGATAGACACGAAAAGCGAATGAAGTTTGACAAGAGACAAAGAGCAAGACCGTTATTTTCTCTTTTGTTTTCGCTTCTTTTCGAGATCTAGAGATTTTCGATTCCTTGATTTTTAACCCGATATTAGTAATTTTTAATTAACAATAAGTTTCCTCGGTTCATGTGACTATTTGATTATTGAATTTATAAAACACAGCGAAAACAGCGAACGCAGTTGAAGTGTTATATTTAATTCTGGGAAGGACAAAACGATTATGACGGTATTATACGAGCGGATTGTTTGAGGAGGAAATTATGCCAACGAAAATGGCGGATGGACGAAAGCTACGTTACTCGTTACTCTCAGTAAGGAAAGAAAGACAAATCAAAGTTATTCTCGAATCCCGAAGAAAGATAGCCGCCGGATCATAATTATCCAAGAAAAGAATCTTTCTTACGCGAACTTGCATAGATATTATTTGATGAAGAAGAATGAAATGCTTGTTTTTATACCTCGAGACAATAATTTGTAATCTTTATTTCCTGCTCATTAAATTTCATTAATCACTTAATAATTATATTATAAACGCAGCGTTTAGATAAAAATTAATTTCCTCTAATGCACGTCCCAGTTATATAAAATATTTTTATATAACACCTCTTTTCTCCCTCCGCACACACACACACACACACACACACACAATTTTATATTTATAAAATTTAATTATAAAAATATGTAATATTGAATTATCTTAATTATAATAAAATGAAAAAAAGTTATTTCTCCAATAATTGAGAAATCTTTTAAATTAAATTTTTTAATATCTACAATTAAATTGGATAAATAATATCTTGTTCCAAATATTTGGTTTCTTTCAAGAAATACAACGTCTGCTTTGTACGAAATTTTTTTTCGAGATAACGAATATTATCTTTTTTAAAGATTATTTTTTCGAAAGATGAAGCTTTTCTAATTTTTCGATTGAAGCAATTTATTAGTGAAATTAATGTGTGTGTGAAAGAGAGAGAAGGAAGAAAGAGAAAAGAACACGAAAGAGGAAAAGAAAGAAAAAAAATTAGGAAAAGTTTATAAAAGTCAAAGGAAACAACAGGACGCTGCCGTTTCTCGAGATTGGCGCTTTGGAAAAATGGAATTCTCATTTCTGTCTTCGGTGATATGGGAATGAATGAAGCAGAGTCAGGAAGGCGAGAGAACACTTGAGCATGCCAGGATCTTTTCTGATCGGGGGTCTTGTCCCGGGCAAACAAATAAAAAAGGAGGGGAAACGGTACTCTTTCTATCGCAAGATGAACGAGTTCTTTCTATCGCAGGAGAACGAGCATGAAACGATAGAATCTGCGGATAACCCGAATTCCATTGGGCGAGAAGAATTTTATGATATTAGCGTTAAGAAAAGACAGCAACATTGGCTCGTCGATTAATCACGACAAAAAAGATACAAACCGAATACTCTTCAATATGACGATGAAAATTAATACAGAAATCTAGAGATATTTCATTCAATGCGATTTTCACTTTCAAGTCTGTAATCATAAAAATTTTCGTCCTTGCGATCACTTTTTTCTTTTTTGCGAAAAGCGGTACAACGACCGTAGACACATTCCTTGTTCACGCGATCAGCTCGAGTAATTTCTGCTCCTCGCCCTGATACGGTGAAGAAGGATTCTTCAATTAATGAAATCGAGGAATTCAAGGAGAAATGTAAAACAGCCGCGTCGGATAAAAAGCGGAACGAGGAAAAAACTTCCCATCTCGGACACGCGTGGATAACTGTGCTCTCCTCATAAGGGAGGAAAGTATTTTCCAATAGCGCCTACGACGGAGGTAACGCCGGTAGGAAAAGGCGATATTTCACGCACATAATATCACGAGCGAAGGAGCGAGAACCGGAGCGAGAGAATAAAAAGAGAGGAACGCGAAGAAAGAGACATAGAAAGAGAGAGAGAGAGAGAGAAAGAGAGGGGGGAGGGGGAGGGGAGAACAAGGAGAGGGAGAGAAAAAGGGTCGGAGGGGTTTCCTCTTATCCTCTTAGCCGTGTCCATCCGCGGAGGGACTTGAGGGAGGCTGTTAAGCGACGAACGTTAACCGTGAACACGACCACGAAGATGGCCCACTGCTGCCACTGCTGCTGCCGTTGCTGCTGCTGCTGTTGGATGAAGATATAAAGGGGGACAGCCAATATCCACGGCAATGTGTTACCACGCCGATCCGCGCGTGTTCGTCCTCGAAAATACCGCGAACCCTGCAAAATGGCGAAAGGAATAGCGCGAGAGGACGAAGGGAGGGAGAGGAGATGGGTGATCCGATATATACGGAGAAAGAAATTTCGAGCTGATATTCTTGCTGGTTTGAGCTATTTCTCCTTTCTGAATTCCTTCTTCCTTTCTTTTGTCCTCGAATGAGGAATGCGTTATGAAGATAGCGTGGTGATTCCTGCGACAGACGGTGTCTCTCGCGCGCGCTCGCGTGACAGAGAGTGAGAGAGAGAGAGAGAGAGAGAGAGAGAGAGAGAGAGAGAGGGAACGGTGAAGATGCTCTTTGACGAGAAGAGATACTTCGCGGTGGTCGGGTCTTGAGGTTTTCAGCAATTTGCTCCTAAGAATCCATAGGAAATCTTTGCATTTTTCGCGATAGTCGCGTTAATTTTTCTATGTAATATAATATGCAGGAGATCGATGTACTTGTACATCCGGTATGTGAATGTAATGAGGAAAAGAGAGGATGCGTCTCTCTCTCTCCCTCTCTCTTTCTCTCTCTTTCTCCTTCTATCTTGATGTTCCTAGATTTTGAGTCGGAAAAATCGCAAAACGTATAATGACGTGCCGAGGAAGTTGGTCACATCGTTGCTGTCTCGAGACCATAGATTTCTCTCGTTTCATCGCGGAAAAGTTGCACGGAATTGTTGCGGAGACGAGCTTCGATACGAACACGCGCGTAAAGTCGTTGCGCCCCATCCTCGAAGATCTCGTTAGCGAATTCGCTCGCGAATCGATAGATCGACGTGAATTCCTCCGAGCTCTTCTCGAGTTGTTCGTGAAGAAGCCGCTTCAGACGCGGAAAGTGGCAAGCTCTTTTCTACTCTTGTATTTGCGAATGCCTAATTGGCGCAATAGGTAATTAAGCAGCGTAAAATAACACGCTGTAACGAAGCTCGTGTAAAACTTGCTACTGCTCTTCAATTATGTGTAATGCGAAAACGCTTTTAATCATTTACGAGACACGCGAGTGCAACGTGTTCTCTGAATAATTGCGAGCGCGCTATGGCGGCGAACGATTCAGAAATTTCGACCGCCCCTGTTCCCGGGGAAATTAACAACGCCCGGCTGAATTTTGCGATTCGCGGCTACAGCCGCTTGTAGTGGTACAGCCGCTGTATTGTGGTTTTTCCAACTTCGCCATCTGTTATTTTATACAACTCGATAGTTGCGCCCGATATTGTGACGACCGAATTTCGTGCATCGAAAGCACAGTGCTGCAAAATGGTCGAAGTTGCGCGAGTCTGGGATTAATTATAACGACCCTGAGCGAAACTTCAAACTCCCAACAGACGATATTGGTATTGTAATTTAATAATACCAACGGATACGGATCATGAGTAAATTATGAATTAGCGGGTTTTCTTTGAGTACAAGACAATCGGAAAATCATGCAGAGGGAGGTAATTTTTTTTTTCTAACAAGAAGCAACGAGATATTCCTCACCGATATTGATGGGCTTTGCATTGCTTATAGTAAAGTAGTTTTAAAAAGGTTCGATTTTGCACAATAATTTTATCGTGTACAAATGAATTTGAAGTAAAATTCTGTAATTCTTATTATGAGGGTTTTGAACATGAAGACAATAATAGCGACTGTGTATTGGAAAATATGACACACTTGACAGTTGAAACGCATCATTGAAAACTATATTTAATTACTAATTAGGCAACACGAGATTTTTGTAACTGAATCAACCTATGTAGCTCACAATTTCGAAGATTTTCACTCACTGTCGCTTTCGACACCTACTTTCTCACTTTCTCACTTTCGCTGAATTTATAATTTTCTCAAACGCTCTCGAGTAGTTTCAGTCCCTAAATGTATAAATAAAGTGATCAAGCGATACGAGATACGCGTCTCTGTCGATCGTTCAAGCCCAAAGTCTGCTAAAACTCGCCAAGTGATCTTTGCCGATCCCTACGTGTACCTTTTCCGTACGTCTTGTGAATAAAACGCAGGGTCGAACGCTTTGAAACGCTCGAAGTCGCGTACTCACCCCGAATAACGGTGGGACTGATGGCGAGAAAGTGTACGCAAGCGGCCCCGGTGCCTTGGCCCATGAGGGTAACGTTCTCGGGATCCCCGCCGAACAGGGCGATATGCTGCTGGACCCAGTGCAAGGCGGCAATTTGATCCATGAGCCCGTAATTCGCGACTCTCGCCTTGGTCTGCGGCGCCACGTTGGCATTCAGGAAGCCGAGCACGCCCAGCCGGTAGTTCATGGTGACGATCACTTGGTCGGTGTAGCTAGCCAGGACGCTGCCGTCGTAGGGGTTTCCGCTGCCCCAGTCGTAGCTCTCGCCGTGAATGTACAGCAACACCGGATGCTTCCTGCCGCCCTCCGCCATGCCTGCGACACAAAGGGATCGCGTCGCGACGCGTCGTTTCAGTTCCTCTTTTGCCAGCGCCGAGCCGAGCCCAGGCGACAAAGACGACGACGACGACGCCGTTGTTGTCCGCGCCGTCGTCTTTGTCGCGGAACACGAGCCGTCGTCTACCTGCCGAAGCGGCTTGCGTCCGGACACGGCTCGGCATTGTCCCGTGTTCCGGCCGAAATGAGGGGCCGCGAGGGGGGTGTCGGGAGATCATCGAGGCTCTTTCAGTTGCCGAGCGGTGTAAATGGACGTGTGACAATTTCGCGCGGAAAACCCGCGTGCGCGCGCGCGCGCGAGAGAGAGAGAGAGAGAGAGAGAGAGAGAGAGAGAGAGAGAGAGAATCTCTGTACGAAGGTGCGATGTCGCAGTCGTTATATGGGATTCGTTCGAGCCGTAAGAAAAAGAAGATATGCGCGGAGATACTTCTCCGCTTGGCTGAAAAGTGCATCCCCAGCTAGTTGCGAGACGTTCGGGATAGATGAAGTGACAGAATTTTCCAACGGCACGCTGAGATCTCTCTCAGACGTGCAGTGGATTGCGGGAGATTGTGAACTATTTGATATATTACGTATTATTTCGCTCTAGATTCCTCTAGGATATGAAGACTTGACTATCGGTATGAGGAATGAGACGCGAAATTATCGAGCTGTAAAATTACAGAGAGCGCGCTCGCGTATGTCGTTACCTGCCGGGGCAACGGCTGCGTAGAAATACTCGTTCCTTTAAAAATAGGCGGAGAAAGAAATTTGAGCCGTCTAATAAAAATTATTTACCGCCCGCGTGAGCGTTTTAATTCTTGGGAAAGAAGTGCACACGCGGCACGGAAAAATCTGTCGTGCTTTTTGTACCCACGGTTGTTTACCCGACCACCAATTTTTCAAGCAAGTCGACTTCTCTGCCCCGAACTTCCAGCGGGAAGTCAGAAATCTAAAATATCCAGCTTTTACAGGACTCTGCCCGCGGTTTTTAATGGCCTTTGCCTTGTATTTCTCTTTTTCGTCGGGCTGAAATTCTTCGGAAAACTCCTCAAGTACTTCCCCATCCCCTTCTCCCCTTCTCTTTTCGTTCTCTCCTCTTCTGTGCTTCTGCCCTTTCTTCCACCGATAGCGAGTTTCTATACGGCGGGACATACGCGGTCAACATTACGTTTTGTTTCGACAAGGGCTACTTCTGTCTCCACTTTTCAGACCGTAACGACGAGAGACGAGAAAGCGCGTTGAAGTGATGTAGAGTAAACGGCACGTCTATATGAGCGATAAGAGACGCCTTCGAAATCCCGAAGGAGAGCCACGACTTGTAGGTGTTCGCGGTGAAGATCTCACTTCTGCGATCAGTACACGACTCTCGGGATATCACATGCTTCGGTTGGTGGAAATTTCACTTTCCGGCATAGGGCGGCTTTCTTAGCAATAATAAATTAATTTTCCGACAACATTATCAGGTGCACCTTACCGGCAGCCTACTCAAAGCTTGTCCCGCTTTTAACTCGCTCACCGATCCTCCTTTCACGCGACAGCGGAGATATCCTTCGAATTTCTGTCTTTTTTCACAGTTAAATCTTGATCCTCGCCGGCTTTCTGTCTCGGTATTGGCACAGGTCGAGATCCGCGGAGATTTTTTTCCACCCGGCTCATCGTCCGACCGCTCTGATCCTCCCTCTCGCGCCCACCCCCTAGTCCCCTTCGAAATTATCTCAGAATCTTAATCAGGTAAGTCCTCCGTCGCAAAGTACTTCGCAAGTTAGCGGCGTATTTGCCGAGACTTTTTATTCGGATTAATGCAGATCCATTTTAGTTTCGTCTTTCCTTCCCGCGCGCGAGCACACATAGTCGTATATATATATATCTACACACACACACACACACACACGCGCGCGCGCGCGCGATACCTTGACGATGCGGTAACGGGGACAAGCTGCGCACAAAAAGGGTTTCATACATTTTTACGATCGTCCCGGGACAGAGGGTTAAGGCACGATTGAGAGAGAGATAATTGGTCGGGCCATATCCATTCTTCACTCGATGTTACAGCATTATCTTCTGGCTCGTGAGACGAAGTAAGAAAAGGACGCAGACCTACGGACTCTTTTTCTCTCTCTCTCTCTCTCTCTCTCTCTCTCTCTCTCTCTCTCTCTCTCGTAATCTTAAACCGTTAATTCCCGGCGTCGCGTCGCAGCGCGGCACTCTGTGCGCGTGTACACGTCGTTGTTCTCGAAGTTATTTGAGACGCTCAGCGTCCGAATTTGCCTAATCTGACGGAGCCTGAAATCACAGCAAACAAAGTTGTTTCCGGTAGATTTCAAGTTCAACACGCGATTGGACTTTCTGTTCGAGGATATTGCAACATTGTATATGCATAGCACGATTGATATGCATGGATCTATCGAATCGAAGTAATAATTAAGTAGTATTTGTGATTTTCCGATTACAATACGAGTTAGAAACGAGTACGGAGGGGAATATTACTCGTTGTGCGGGAAATTAGAAATTAATTATTTTATAAATAAACAAATATATATATATATCGCAACAATCAACGGTTTATCGCAGTTTCATCAAAGCGTTAACAGGTTCGAGCGGTTCGGTGTTTCCTCAAAAATCGAATCCTTCGAATTTCCGTTAGATATGGCGGGGAATCGATGCTTAGTGGGGCGCGCATTAATCGAGGCAAACTGCAGATAAATTCGACGATTAAATGAATGAGCCGTCGCATTCGAGCGTTTCGAAATGGCCGGAATGCGAAAATATTTAACGCCGAAAGTCGATATTACAACGGGAGCTCTCTCTGCGTTCGCGGGAATACTCAATAAATCCCGTTCGGAAAATAGATTATCGTGATAGGTCATCAGCGAGATTTCTCACGACACACAGCATTCGTATCGAAATTTATCCGTCCTCTCGCGCTCGCGCTCTCGCCGCGTTCGATCCGTGATAACAACAGCGAGCATCAAACACGCCTGAAATAGTTTAAACTAATCTTGTTCCCTGTACGCTTCATATAATATGCATTAATACATGTTAATTAGCGTTGCCAGATGAGTTGATATTAACAAGCGCCAATAAACGGCGACGCGCGCTCCAATGCTGACCTTCAATGATATTTTATTATTTTTCGATGTGCGATACATCACTGGTGCATTTTTTTTTTGCTGACCATTCGTACGACCGGGCGTAAAAATAATTAAATAATTCTAGATTTGCGGACGTGCGTAAAAGCCATCGGAATTCAAAAGTTTGAATTGAATAAAACACATGGGAAATTCATCTGCGAGAATCACCTAATAGCTTGATAGATTTTAATTACACAGTTCACCCGCAGATCAATCAATTTTTATCTTTGTAGGACACAAAAATGAGATTTATATATACTCGCACACACATATATACATATATTTACATACATATGTACATATGCATACATATATTATATTAAAACTAATGAAACAGCTATGAAAATTTCGACTATATAGTCGAAATTTTCACAGTTATTTTATTATTCATTGCGTGCTATTTGCGCAAAATTCATTGTATTCATTGAAATAGTTTCGCGTGTTTACACATCCGTATGCAGCCGAAATATGCATGACGGCAATTCACGGAAACGCCCAGGCAACACATCTTTCTGCGATGTAGAAAAAACATAGTAATCCTAATTTAAAAGTCAAAGAGCTAATTTGTTGATGCAACACAATACAATGCCACACGGCCGGCTATTTTTGCGATGACGTTATTCGTTCATCATCGGAAATCCGATTACTCGTTCCCGCTGTAGTTTGCGCTCTCGCAAGGGTATCATTTTTACCTCGTTATCGTGACGATCGCAATGCAAAGCCCAATTTACACCCGTTCGCCATTAATCATCGTTGTATCCTGTATAAACTGTATAAACTGTATAAACTAATCTGTGAATAAGAAAAATTGCAAGTGTCAGAGGCTCGGTTTAGATATGAGGAGAAATAACGAAAAGAGATGAAACGAGACTTTTATACGTGGACTAATTTCCGCGCGTTCGCACCTTTGCCGGTGGTACTTTTCGCGCGAGGAAATCTTTCCTTCTGACTTCTGGACATTTTCCCAGAAGCTTCAGGTAGTGTGACTGCTACATCGCTTGATGGATGAGGTAATTCTTAAAGGCGAAGCGTGTAAGATGTGTATAACGCGAATCAATTATTTGACGATATTTCAGGAAATTGCACGACTGTAACTCGGCGAGAAACCAGCCAGCCAGCCAGCCAGCCAGCCAGCCAGCCAGCAGGCGGCTCCCGTAACTTTATCGTGCACGACTCGTTATGCACAAACAGAATCAAAAGTACTTAATTATATCGCGAACTGCGCAGCACAAACTGCAACGGGTATAATCTGCACATAATGCACAGTACGCGAAAGCAAATTAATTACTCCGTTCGTCGCAATACCGTCGGCAAGTATACAGAGCACAGGCGCAAGGACCGGGCTTGACCATGTTAGATTGTCGTTAAGTCCTAACGACAATTAATTTCGTATAACTTTGCGTGCGTTACCTCCTCCCCTCTCCCCGTTATCTTCGCCGAGTAGCCGTTTTGTCTAATTTAAATGTCGCATTAAAAAATGAAAAAAAAGAGAAAATATGGAGAAAAGGAGAGAATTATCGCGTCGACTTTTATCAGATCAAATTTTATTTCAATCCGAGCGGTATGACGTTTCAATCCAATTGCATTTCAGATTTATCTTCATAATTCATCCGCATGCGTCGAAAAAGTTACGTTTATTGAATTAACGAGAGCGCGACTTTGGAAATGATAGGGAAAATTACAAAAAAAAATGGAAAGTAAAAGAGATGGATTATGAAGCTCGAAATAATAAAGGCTCTCGCAAATTAATTTACCTCACGGGCTGAAGTTTACTTCAAACGCTTTGAGACTGGCGGAATAATTATTGTGTAAACTGTTTGTTTATTAATACTTGTAAAGGAATAGCCTGGACATGGCGTAATGTAC